CACTTTGACATCCACTCAGATTACCGATGAGAAATACGTTGATTATCTCGAGGTAAGAAGAATGCTCGATGAATACATTCGTCTTTTTTCATATCCACTCACGATTCTTTGACATCTGAAAAGAAGCTTTTTGTTGCTCTCTTCGCAGATATGAGTGACTTCGACAGCTGCATTTCTTTTCACCTCATGAACACACGATAATTCGTTTATTGAGTGGGTGTTCTGATTCCAGTCATGAGAGAAAACCTTTACGCATACATAGTCAGTGCCATAGATAGTGTTAAAACTGGGCAAATGGTACTTTGGCCCATCAATTTTGAAACATCGTTTATATTTTCTTGGACTTCTCTTAAAGAAATCGTGAGGTTTCACGAACTTATGCAGTCTTGATTGATATATCTTCATAATCGGTCCTACCTCAGAAAAATATTCTTTAGAACAGCTTGAAAATCCATACTTTTCTACCTTGATTTGCATATTTCGTTTGATTCTCATCAATAGTGTTAATTTCTTAATGAGAGACGTAGTAAAATATTCATATGTATTGATCAACACGTTTGACAGAAAGGTAGGTGAGTTCGACTGAAATAAAATCCTGCACTCTATAGCGATGTCTTTAATGAAGTGTATACGGAGAAAATTATAACTGCAAATGGAAGTAGACAACGCAATATCTTGCGAAAGAACAATGACATTTATATCCTTACAGATTGTCATTACAATGAGTGAGAGCGTGATCTTTCGAGAAAAGAGTACCTATGTAACCGCTTCAGACAACATTTCTTAACATAATGATTCGCTCAAAGATTAGAAGTTCTATCAGGATTAGAGAAGGCAGAATACAGTAAAAAAATAACTATCACGCTTTAATCATGAATGATATTACAATTTCTTCTTGTCTTTAGATTTTTTCTGACGACTAGAAACCAAGGGGGAACAAACTGATTACTAATACTAGTAATCAATTTGTAATCACGAGTAATCACCAGTAATCACGAGTAATCACGAGTAATCACCAGTAATCACTAGTAATCACCAGTAATCACCAGTAATCACCAGTAATCACCAGTAATCACTAGTAATCACCAGTAATCACCAGTAATCACTAGTAATCACCAGTAATCACCAGTAATCACCAGTAATCAC